AGGGGCGGGTCGGGAGGCTCCGGAGGCAGCCGGGCCGGGAGGAGCGCGGTGGCCCGGGCGGGGCAGGTGCTAGATAGAAGTCGTCCCAGGTTTGGAAGATGTCATCGCCCACGGGAGCCCAAGTCAGTCCGTGCGACATAGAAAGTGGGACATAGAAAGTGAAGCAGGGAGCGCCCCTGTGGTCCCGCTGTCAGGGGTCGGGGCAGGCAAAGACGTGGGGGTTCCTGGCAAGTGTCCCGCACGGAGCAGGCCCTTCTGGCGTCCTTCCTTCCCCGGTTGGGGACAGTGACCCAACGGGCACCTGTTTGTTCTGTCTGCCCTGCCGGCAAGCTGAACTGGACTCCTCCCTGCCCCTCGCGAGGTCGGGTTTGTCACCGTCCGGGTCCCAGGGGACAAAGACTGATTTGCGGGTAGGAAGTGCCCCGGTGACAAATGAATCTCTTGCCAGCCACTGTTCCCAGAGCCCAGCGCTAATGGGGGGCTGCTCCTCTAGGCAGAAACAGGTGGAGTTTGGGGGACCTCGGGAACCCGGCCGCTCTCCTGGTTTTCCCAGGGACTGTTTTGGTCAAAATCTTTTCTGCCCAGGCTGTTTGTGGGTGAGCCTGGCCGCCGCTGTCACCAACTCCCCGAAACCAACTGTTCCTCCTCGAGGAGACTCTGCCTCAGGGGCCTCGTGAGCGTCAGCTTCCGGCCGGCCTCTGACTGAGGGATCCTTTTGACCCCCTGTCTGGAGGAGTAGAGTGAGAAATTCAGCTAAGGTTCTAATAGGTGTTTTGTAGCCACGGGAGGGTGGAGCTGGTCCTGGAATCCCAGGAAGATGGAAGGAGCCACTTAACTGACTAACAATTGTGTAAAATTGCCAGAGGATCCCTGTCCCCTGCAGCCTTCTGTATCTGCTTTTATTACTCCATTGCTGACTCAGCAGGAAGCCACTGGACTGGGCACTTTTCTTGCATGAGTTCATTACAGCTTCACTGTCTCCATTTGGAAGACGGGAAAATGAGGCTCACAGAGGCACCTTGTTTGTTAAGTGGCTGAACTGAAACTCATTCTTGGTCTGTGCAGGAAGAGGAATGGGGTGGAGAGGTTCTGACTCTATTTGGAGACTCCCTGCTGTACCAGGGCATAGCATCTCTCCCCGGGGCCTTGACACCACTTGGACACTCAGCCCGGGTAGAGTGACCCATGCTTCAATATCATCCTCTCTTGGAGATGTTTATTTTCTAGGCAGTATGTTGGGGTGATTAGAAGAGGGAGATCATGGACTCTCATGGGTCTGGATTTCAATCCCTGCTCTTCTGTCTTCTTGCTGTGTGACCTTGGGCAGCTGGCTTCACCTCTCTGTGCCTCAGTCCCAGCTCCTGTAAAATGGGCCTGTAAAATTCATCCTTGCCTGAAAGGGGTACACAGTGAGGCTGAATGACACAGGGCATACAGAGCATTTAGCATCCTCAGGTGACTTTCTGGTTTATAAATGGGGCCTGGAGTTTGAGTCAGTAGGGAGGAGGCTGGCAGGATGGTGTCTGGACAGCTTGGCCTGGGTGATACCCATGTGCATCCTCTAAGGGCCATTCCTTATCAGGTGGTGATTCCTGGAGCTCCTCTCGCCCTGCAGCCCCAGAGTCCAGGGAAGAAGCACAAAGATAGTGATAAAAAATTATATTTGGGGGTCAAGGATAGGGAAAGAAACTGAGACAAGAACAAAGCTAGCCTTTTCTGGGGCAAAAGGAGGCTGCTGGCCCCTTGCCAGGCACAAAGATCAGGTGAAAGTGAGGCCAAGAAAGGACTCACAGCTTCAGTTAAGAGCAGACAGGTATGTGTGGTGAAGGGCTCTGAAGGGCTACTGGGTGCACCCCAGAACTATGTCCCAGGTGGCAGCTGCTCCCGAGGCTCCCGGCTCCGTTCACCTGAATGAAAGCAGCAGCCTGGCCCTGGGCGGGCCAGGGAGGGCCACTGGGTGGTGACATGCCGCTTTTATTTTATTTTTTTTTTCAGGGTTTGGCCCTTTTGGGGAACACACGGTGAACGCCAGCTGGATTGCAGTCCAGGTAACTGGATCCAGAGGGGAGGAATCAGGCTTGGGGGCTGGGCTTCCCCTGGAAATATTTGGCACCAAAGAAAGAAAGGAATCTACGAAGAGAACATCTCCTGTGAAGCTTCCTGAGAGATTTAAGCCTGACACACACTTCCTCCCAGATAGTTTCCGCTGTAGCTCACATTTGTTGAGTGCTTGTTCTATGTCAAGCAGTATTTGTTGTTGTTGGGGTTTTTTGTTTGTTTTTTGTTTTTGCTGCCCAGCGCTGAGTTCTCCCAACAACCCTTAGGTGCAGTTATTCTTGGGCCCACTTTCTGGATGAGAAAACTGAGTCCCAGAGTTATCCAAGATCATCCAGCCCAGAAACCAGAGTGGCCTTGCTTCAGAAGTGTCCCATGCTCCAACCAGGTTTTGGGGGGGGACCAGGTAGGGTTGTTGGGGGATGTATTAACCTTGTAGAGGGGGTGCAGTGACCCTCAGTGTTGCCTCCTGGCAGCTTTAGGAAGAGGAGGCTGCATTTTGGTGGGGGGGGTTGGTTTTTCCCGCTGTCGGGAACTGTCCAGTTTCTTTGTCAGATGGGGCATTTGGAGGGACAGACTGGGGAACAATGGGCAGAGAGAGAGAGAAACGTTTTCTCCTTATATAAATCAGATCTGCAGAGACCGGAGCCAAACCGTGTTACTCCTAGCCCATTAGCTGCTTGATTTAAAGCATCCCGTTTTCCACTCCAGAGCCCTGAATTTGGAGAAAAATCCAAGTTGAAACTTCAATGTGTCAACTGTCTGTTGGGGCTCCCCACCTTTCTGATCACCCCTCTTCCAGACCTCAAAATCTCAGCCTTATTCCTACCCCTTTTTGAAAATTTCCACCCCACTTTGCTAGCAGGACAGAGGGACGGGGTCCCCCGGACCTTGCAGATGGGAGCATGTCTGAGGCCCTGCTCGTTGCACCCGCTCCCTGGAGCCCCAGACAAAAAGGAAACAGCGTGTTTCTGAAGACGTGTGTGTCTGGCTTTGTGCGAGTTTCAGACAGGAGTCTTCACGGGGCTGAGTGGACACAAAGCCGTGTGTCTGAATTCCTGGGCCCCAGACACTATGATCTGCATCTAAATAGGAGAAAAATCAATTAAACAATCTTTGGAAATCCCTCCGAGCTTTGGGACTCGGATGGTGGAGGATAGCAGCTTTTCATCCTGCTGCTGGAGGGGAAATACCCCTTATATTTTAGTCAACCATCTCTCCAGACCTCGCCTCTAGAAGACTTCCAATTTTCTTCTTCAAGTTTATGAAACAAGAAGAGAGGAATCTCTACCATTCCCCAGCTAAAAAGATGCTGACCTTCCCAGATCTGATTGTTTCCCTTTTGAAAAACAAACCTGGAGTCACACATGCATATGCTGAGTGTGTGCAGCCCTGAAATTTTACACATGTGCACCTTCGCGTCCCTTGAATCCAGATCAAGATCTAGAACATTGCCAGCCCCTTCTCTTTTCCTCTCCATTGCAGACGCTCCTAGTGTCCTTTCTCAGCTACTCCCACCGTGCCCCACCCCCACCTCCAGGTGTAAACCTCTGCTGACTTAATAACCAGCATCGGTGCATTTTGCCTTTGCTACGACTTGGTGTCAATAGAGACTCACTTTGGTCCTCCACTTTCTGTGAAGCAGGGCATCTGCAGGATCCGCCAGTGGGGTGGCTCGGAGTTGCTGTTGGCACTTTTCAGTTCTGCTGGACAATACAAATTTGCCCCTGGAAAGGGTGGCATTGGATAGCTCAAACTCGTCCCTCAAGAAAATACTCCTCGGAGTGTTTTTGGTGTGATCCAGACACTAGTTGTGGGTGAAAATTGATGTCTGTCACCTCAAGCTGAAGATGGGTGTTTGGTTAGGTGGAGTGATCGGCAGTTACTTCCTGTCCCAACGAATTTTTCTGAAGCTCAAGTTGCCACCTGTAGAAGGAAGTCCTCCTCCTCTCCCAGGGGCCAGCTAGCGTCTCTCCATCTGTTTCTCCCCTTCTTTCTGTCTCTGTCACGCTTAGCCTCTCTCTGGGTGTGTCTCTCTCTGTTTCTCCCCTTCTCTTTTCTCATCTCTCTCCATATTTCTCTCCCCGTCTTTCTCTCTCTTCTGTCTCTCAGTTTCTCTTGGCCACTCTTGGGTCTCTGTCTCTTCCCGCCTGTCTCTTACTCTCTCTCTCTCAATCTGTCTCTCACCCCTCCTTTCTCCATCTCTCTGTTTCTGTCTGTCTCTCTCTGTATATTTCTTTGTCTCTCCCCCCTTCTGTCTCTGCCTGTTTCTCTTGGCCTCTCTATGGGTCCCTCTTGGTCTCTCACTCTTTTTCTGTCTCTCTTCCTTTTCTCTCCATCAGTCTCTTTCCATCTTTGTCTTTCACTCCCTCCCCTCCTCTTCTCTTTCTGTTTCTCTGTCTCTCTGTCTCTCTCTCTCATCTGACCTTCCTTCCTCGTGCCCTGGGTGAACTTGTGTCCCAGCAGAGAGTGGACTGTTTCCCACCAGCCACACTTAGGAGGTGGGAGTTCTAGGGACAGAGGGGCAACCCTCCTTGCCTCTTTCCCAGGATGGCACCTCTCTTCAGCCCCTCACACAAGAGGGAGTGGATTTTTCGAGTGTCCTGTCTCTCCCAGGTCTTGGATGGTGGACATGGGATGCTAGCTTCGGGTCTGTCTCTCCCTAGGAGGCTCAGGTGGGTGTTGAGGGCTGGAAACTCTGGGTCTTGGGGGCTTCTGGAGCCTTCCCTGCCCAAGTGGGGTGAGGAGGAGCTGGGTCACTGGTCCTGGTGACATCACGGGACAATCACTGGCACAGTGAGTCTAGACAGACCTGCTAAGGATATTAACCAGGGAACAAAGGGGGTCTTTGTCGTGGGGTCAAGGGAATCGGTCAGACGCAGCCGCGCGGCAGGGTCTTGTCAGGTAGACAGGGTGTAGACAATGTGTCGTCTGGGGTGCACAAGCTCCATTCCTTTCACAGTATGCGCTTGGTAACTGCATTCGCTGCAGATTGTTGTGGGACTTGGGGTGCGCTGCTTCCCACCCCAGGAGAACCGTTTGGAGCAGAAAGTTTAGAGGCAAAGAGTTTAGCTCAATTACTGGTGCCCCCCACACACAACTGTTGCCCTTATTAGAACTAGGGAATAATTTGTAGAAGGACATAAACAGATCTTTAGTGTCCCCGTCACTTTGGTGAAAAGTATTTAAGCCCATGTCACCAATACTTTGATCAAGAGGGTTGGCTGATTTCTATCCACCCTAAACATTCTTTCCTGCCCCTCGCCTCCGCCATCACTCTTCATCCTGCCCATAGGCAGCTGCTGTCCTGAGCTCAGTTACCACAGGTGAGTTTTGCCTGCTGTCAAGCTGCAAACCAATGAATGGGATGGCACAGCCTTTGTGTTCCTCTAGCTCCAGCTGCTTTTGCTCAGCCTGCATTGGTGTAGGGTCAGGGCCAGCGACTGGGGGGGGGGGGCAACTGGTTCCTTTTCTAACTCACCCCTCTTCCCATGGGCCCTGGCCCTGGGGGCTTTGGGATTTGCTCCCCAAGAATAAAGCAGCAGGGACGCCCCCTCAGGGTCTCTGGTGAACATGTGGATGCCTCTCTGTGGGAATGCTGGCCACAGGGTGTGTGTCCATCTTTGCTGGTGGTTTCTGTATTTTTTTTTCCCCCAGATTGGGAGGATCTAGATGGGGACTCAGAGGACTTGAGGGGCAAAGATTAGGAGAAGAAAGTGACTTGCTTCATGGCTCCCTGGTGGCCCCAGTTTATTTCCTGCCATGAAAAAATCCATGTGGGTGATTCTTCCCACTAATGCTCGGTAAACATCACCCAGTGGGAGCCACCCTTGAGTTGCTATGGGCTGGTGAGGGTGCTCAGCACATGGCACCTGCTCTACTGGGTCAAGGGAGAGGGTCAGAGAGAGGGTCCATGGGGAGGGGCTGCTGCCCTGAGCCAGGTGTCTTGCCTGGGCACATCACATGTCACAGTGGCCACCGAGAGAGTTCCTGCACCCCACAGAGGGTTCCTTGGCTTAGTCACTAGTCGAGTTAGCAGCAGTCCCCCCGCCCCAGCCCGCGGAGGTGGTTCCACCAAACTGACTTGCCTGGGCTTGTGTACAGCAGTCTCAGTTTGGGGACAACTCCCCGAGTGAAACTCTGAACAAATAAAAGTCCTCACTTAATCTGGGAGATGGAGTCTTTTAATTACTGGCCTTTCAACATATTTTCTGTTGCCATAAAGAGCTGCCAGAGCCATAAGGAAACAACAGGGGAGGGGGCAGGAAAATTTCAAGCAGCGAGGGACAGGAGGGTAAGGAAAAATAGGGTTGTGGTTGATCAGATGCATAGATAGGTGAGTTTTTGTTGTTGTTGTTGTTGGTTTTGTTTTTTTTGTTTTTTTTACTTTATGTCAGGAGAAGGTCTATACTAGAGATTTCTCCTCCAAGCCATAGGGGAAGAGGAAACAATATTTATCCCATTCAGTTAAAAAAAATTGGGGGGGAGGAGGATATAGCTCAAGGGCTAGAGCACATTCTTAGCAAGCGTGAGGTCCTTGGTTCAATCCCCAGTACCTCCTCTAAAACCAATCAATCAATCAATCAAATTACTCCCCAAATAAGTAATTTTAAAAAACATTTGACACATTATAAGAATAGTGCAAAGAAGTCCTTTCACACCCAAATTCCCCAAATGTTAACACTATATTCCATTTGCTCTTTATAGATAAATAGCTAGCTACATAGATAAAGTTAAAAATTTTTTTCTTGACTCTCAAGTCATTTTTTAAATTGTGGTAAAATATATATGCCATCAGACTTTCCATCTTAACCATTATTAAATGTGCAGTTCAGGGACATTAAGTATATTTACATTGTTTTGCAACCATTACCATCATTCATTTCCAGAACTTTTTCATTCTTCCCAAACTGAAATTGTCCCCATTAAACACTAACTCCCCATTCCTCACTCCTGACAGCCCCCAGCCCTCACTCTTTAACTTTCCGTCTCTATACATCTGTCTACTCTAGGGACCTCGTGTAAGCAGAACTATACAATTTGGTCCTTTTGTGTCTGGCTTATTTCATTTGGCATGACGTTTTCAAGGTTCATTCATGTTGTAGCATATGTCTGAATTTCCTTCCCCTTGAAGGTTGATTAAGATTCCGTTGCACATGTATACCACATTTTGCTTATCCATTCATTGGTCAGGACAGCTGGGAGGCATCTGCATTTTAGCTCTTGGAAATAATGCTGCTATGAACATGGACATACAAATATCTCTTCAAGACCCTGCTTTCAATTCTTGTGGGTGTGCACCCTGGAGTGGAATTGCTGCATCATATGCTAATTCTGTATTTAATATTTTGAGGAGCCGTCATGCTCTGTGTCAGCTGCAGACATGATACCCCTCTACCCTTATAA